TTCGGTTAGCTTACTTTTAACTAGAATATCGTTGACAAATACCTCAATGTCCTTCCTTTTCGATCAGAAAAGATTACATTAATGAGACGTTGATAGGTCGCCCTAGCATTTTTAAGCCCGAAGGGCATTACATTAAAACAAAATATGTCTTATGCAGTAATAAATGTCATTTTTTCTGCGTCGGCTTGATGCATCTTTATCTGATTGTAGTCGGAATAAGCATCGAGGAAACTCATTACCGAGTATCAAACTGTTGTGTCCACCAATGTATCAATCTTTGGTAGGGGGCAGGTATCCTTTAGGCAAACAGCGTTGAGGTTGGTGAAGTTGACGCACATCTGCTACATGTCGTTAGCTTTCTTGACCATGACGATGTTTGAGACAAGTCAAGCACTGGACTTCACAGATATAGTCGACGTCTAGCAACTTCTGCACCTCTGTCGCTGTCGGTTCTGTCAAAGTTCTAGCGGTCGAACGGATCTTCTGTTGGAACAGCCGAGAGTAGGGGCTGATGTTTAGACAATGGCACGTGGCGTCAATTGAAACGTTGGGCATTTTTGTTGCTGTTCAAGCAAACACTTCCCGGTGCTCCCAAAGCATCTGTATTAGCTGGCTCCTGAATCCTAAGTCAAAGTGTTCACTGATCAGGAAAACCTTGTCGGGTTCTTCGTTGGACACAGGCACCTGGAGGACGGCCTCACAGATCTCAAGACCCTCATCCCTCTGGATCTGCATGTGTAGTGGTTCATAGTTGACGCCCGAGACCGCTTGCAAATAGCAGCTTCTAGACTACTCCAAGTTCCTCTGGACCGTAATTACTTTTCCGTCTCCTAGGAACATTACTGCCACATGGTAGGTAGAAGTCATAACTCGGTAGCTATTCAGGAGTGGCCAGCCAAAGAGAGCCTTGTAGGTTAGCGGAGACTCGACCACGACGTAATCCTCCATGTTGTTATAATGCTTCCCTGTTTCTTCCCAAGAGATGGTGAGAGCGACAAGGCCCAATGTCTTTTTTCCTCTAAGAATCCGAATAACGGACCAGTCGGTGCTGTCAGTTAGTCTGCCTTCAAGCCAATCTTATCGAGCACTGTTTTGAATGGGATAATCACTAAACATCTTATATCAACGAAAATAGTACCTACCTGGTAGTTGTAGATCAGTGTTTTGATGACGATCGCCTCATTGTGGGGGTTCCACTTTGGTGGGAAATCTGCATCTGTAAAGATAATGGGTAAGTGGTTACGTGTGTACGGGACGATGGATTGTACCTCTTCCGAATGTTGTCTCTTCAAGCTGGAGGTTCGTTGTCCTCCTCCGAAGATGGCGGGTATTATCCCTGCTACGTGGATCTTGTTCACCCTGACAGGTCCATTAGAGGGAACTTTTCCTGATGCTTTACCTTGTAGTTGTGTGTGCACGTCTACTACAACAAACTCTTTGAGCTTCCCAGCGTGGATGAGTTCTTCAATCAGGGGTGACATCACTCCTCCGTGTCGTGACCGTGGTCGCGGTGGCACTGACAGTACCTCTTCGGATCCCGTAAGGTCGGCGCTGCCTTCAGTGGTGGGGCCAGTTTGAAGTAGTCCTTGTTTTGGATGGATTGGACTATTTCGGCCATCGGCATGTTGAGGGATATCAAACCTTGCATTTCCCGGTAAACATGCAATCACTCATAATATTGAGCCAACCGTTGATCAGAGCGTTGCTTCCAGTCATTTCTCCACTGATCTCAAGACCGAGGGTTGTTGTTTTGGTGATCCATGGAGGATTGATTATTCTTCGCTCTTTGCAGCTTGCCCCGTTCTACCACTTCTTTGACAGGTGGTAGGAAGATTCTGGCTTACCCTTCGAGGAGCCTTAGAGGTCTTTCTCGACGAGTATGTGCTCGTTCGCCATCTCCAACACTCTTGCAAAAATAGTAGGTTTCAACAGATTTAGGTCATACCTGAACCATTTGCTTTGGATTCCTCGCTTCAAAGTTGTTTAAGCTATTTCAGGCTTTCTATTTCTAACTTCCAGCATTTCGTTCTGGAAGCGGTGATGAAGGTTCGCAAGCTCTCACTCTCTCCCTGTTTGATGTCAAACAAGCTGTTCGAGTCTTTCCTCGGTTTCTGCATGTTTGAGAAGTGTGAATTGAAGAGTTTTAATTTGTAGTAATTTGGGATGGTTTCGGTCAGAAGACCTTCAAACCATCGAAGGGTCGATTCCTTTAGGTTAGTTAAAAAGAGGCGACATATTATGGGGTTATCGATCTAGAGGAGACTGATTGACAACTTGAACGACGCTACGTGGTTGATCGGATTCTAACTCCTTTTGTAGGAATCCAAGGGATCCTTAGCTTGGGTGATGGTACTTCCTCTTTGATTCAGCGAGTAAAAGCCTCTCTTACGAGTGGTCGAACGGGCACTCGCATCCGCTCTTCACCTTGTTTGTTCGCCTGTGCAAACAAAGCTGTGTCAGTGTGTTAAGACTTATCTTGTTCTTCTGTCCGCTGGTTGTTGACCTAGCTGTGTGGGATAGGCGGATTCCTTGGTGAGGTCCTTTAGGGACGAGCCCCTTGAGGTTCCGCCTCCAATCGAGGCGTCTGGTCGTTCTTTTGGGAGATTGCTGCCTAGAGGACCTCGAATTGCTCTATCATGAGGGTCATTTGGGCTTGTAAGCACTGGATTTGCACATAGACATCTGGTTGCGTAGTGTTTCTGTTGAGTTTCATGTGTGTTATCTCTCTTTGAGCAGTTTCTCTTTTGTAGTTAGCTCTACTTCTCGTCTGGGGCATGTCTACATTCATCGTACCACCTTTCAGGTTGTTGGATCTCATATTCTTTTGTGAACACGTTTCGAGAGTTAGAGCCGAGTGAATGAGAGAAAATAGAGTAGTGGGTCACGAATTTACTGTTGAGAGAATTGGGAGAGATAGTCCCCTTTGTTCGTATATTTTGTCTCATATTTTTAGGAGCGTATTTTGTACAACTACAGAAAGGATAGAGCAGTTATGAAAATTGTTCTTAATATGATTAATGTTCTAATTAATTATATGGATTTTATATTATATCTGTATTACAATTTGAATTTTAACATACTCATAGTCGGCGGACCGACTTGTTTGAGATCGGCTGATTGAGGCGGCCGGTCGAGTGACAACTGTGTCTTCCGAAGTGCATGTTGGTTGGTCGAGGCGCTCGGCCGTATAGCAATCTCGCTCGCCCCGGGTCGGTCGCTCAACTGCGGTTGGGTGAGCCGTGACTCACTTGTCGTTCAACTCGAGTCTTATAAGACATGTGTCTCCTATGTCTGGTAGGTTCGTTGCTTTATCCAAATCTCAGATCTAGTGGTGGTATTGTAATGATTTGTGATCAAGTATTTAAAAAGAGTGAACATTTTAGATATCTCGGGTCTATTGTTCAAAGTGATGGTGATATATATGGTGATGTTATTAGTAAGATAGCAAATTCAAGTTGGATGGTTGAAGTGGAGGAATGCATCCGGCCTTGTGTGATAGAAAAGTACCCTTTAGACATAAAAGAAATTTTGATAAGATGGTGGTGAGACCCGCAATGTTTTATGGTGCAAAATGTTGGCTTTTAAAAGAGAAGCATAAAACTAAGTGTTGTTGAGATGAGAATGTTTAGGTGGATGAGGGTGGATGAGAATGTTTAGGTGGATGAGTGGCTTTACACTTGGAGAGAATGTGAAACGAATATATCCGTGAAAAGATTGGTGTAGCTCTAGTGGTAGACAAGATTAGAGAGTCGTATTAGATGATTTGGTCGAATGAAACGTTGATCATCTAATGATCTTGTTACAAGAGTAGTTTTTTAGATTTGACTTTTGGTATGAAAAGTAGAGGTAGACCTAAAAGGACGTGGGCATGTTGTCTAAAAAATTATCTTAACCTATTAGAATTAAATGAAAATATGACATCCAGTAGGACATAATAGAGAAAGAAGATTCATGTAGTTGACCCCACTTAATGGGATAAAGTCTTTGTTGTTAATGCTGTTGTTGCAAAATTCTCTATATTAACCATTTAAACCATGTTGTTGTTCATTCCTGGAGAGCACTAAACCGAACAAAATGGGCTTCGGATTTTAAGGGCCTCATAGCAACTCAGTAATTTAGTTCCTCCTTTTTAAGGATCTCCTAAAAATACAAATAAGTAGCTAGTTTCAAAATCAACTTTTCATCTCTACAAAAGCTCATAAAGGCATCAAATTTGCAGATTGGGCATCGTCGGGACAAATCCCATGGGATGCAGGGAAATGAGCAAGTAAAGGGATTGCTGGTTTGAATGTGAATGATAAAGTTAGGAATGAGTTCAGATTCATGAGCAAGTGTGGTCATGGCATCGATGGGGACTGCAACTATGGTAGTAGGATCATGAAGAATGAGAGGCACAAGGTTGCTGCATTAGCTAAGAAATGTTAAATGTAACGTAAACAAAATATAATGCACCCATTTTAGTTGCAACAGAACAACCCCATAGTATATTCCTTTTATAGTGAAATCCATCTATACTTGCTTATCCTTCCTCTTGGGTGTCATTAAAGTTAACAGAAGTGGTTGCTTTACTAGTGATAGAGTCATCGGAGTTCATGAGAGCATATCCGCCATTTTATTCTACACACCTTATTATACTGGATGACTAAGCAGAAGGAGAATTCCCTTTTACAATGGGTCCTTTGGTTGCTAATAGGTTGCCAAGGTGCCATTAGCTTATTCCTCTAACAAAATTTGGATTTTCTTAGAAAGATCATCATATTAATTGCTCTCATTCTCATGATATTCACGCTAAGATTACCTTCTTCCCTGATATGATTGATATTCATGTTTCTTTTGTTGAATCATTCTGAATAACCAAAACATGTCGATTAGTTCATTGGAATTATATTTTCATCCTAGGATTCTTGTTTTAAAAACCAGAATTCATTTGGGCCCCTCTAACCTATATTAAATCATCTGAATATCCATCATTTTATGTGTGACGGGTACCATTTGGACAGATATGAATGCCGCTCCAACATCCAGCTACAGCATTCGGGCAGCCTTCTCGTACTGTGTTCAACAAGTTCGCAGTTATGATTACCACCATTACCTCTGCCTGCTTCTCCTTCCCCCGGCCATGCGTAAGGCCGCTTTCGCATTCCGCGCTTTCAATGTGGAGATTGCAAGAGCCATGGATGTCGCTTCAGAGCCTGGGGTCGGAGTCATGCGTCTTTTATGGTGGCAGGAAGCCATCGACAAGATATTTGCGAAGAAGCTCGTAGAACAGCCGGTTGCGAGAGCCCTATCTGCGGTGATTTCAGAGCATAAGATCAGTAAACATTGGCTCAAACGGTTAGTCGAGGCCCGAATAAATGATGGAAACAAAGAAGAGGGTTACATTCCAGCTACCATCGCTGATCTGGAGAAATATGCAGAAGACACAGTTTCGACGATTCTGTATATGACTCTCCAAGCAGGTGGGATTCAATCCACTGCAGCGGATCATGCGGCTTCACACATCGGGAAAGCAAGTGGTCTTCTCCTGCTGCTGAGATCCCTGCCATACCATGCTGGAAGAAGTGGAAGAATACCATACATACCAGCTGAAGTAGCAGAGAAGCATGGGCTGTTAGGAAGAGAGAATGGGAGATTGGAAATTCGAAGGGATTTGAAGGAGAAGCTTTCAGATGCGGTGTTTGAGATTGCAGGTGTTGCTGTTGGTCATCTGCAGAAGGGAAGAGAATTGGCTCCGAGTGTTCCTGAAGAGGCTGTTCCTGTGTTGCTGCCTGCTGTGGCAGTGCAGGTGCTGTTTGATGCTATGGAGAAGAGTGATTTTAATGTGTTTGATTCAAGTTTGGGAAGAGGGGTTTTGGGTGGCTCTCCACTTTGGTATCAGTTGAAGCTCAGGTGGCATTCTTTGAGGAATAAGTATTGAGGAACAAGTTATTGATGTATCACATTACTTTGTTAGTTTGAGAATCGGAATTTACAATTGAGCATTATCATGATAATACAATGCGTTTGTATTTGCTCCCCAACGTTTTTTATTCACATCAGTAAGAATGTTTTAAAATTTACATATATCCACACACAAAAGTATTTGCTAAATCTATTTTTGAAATTTATTTAACTTGAATGTAAAACAATAACATTGAAAAACAGGGACATTTACAAGTGCATCGTCAATTTTCTTTTCTTTTTTTTTATTTAGTTATTTAATAATTTAATACTAATTTATAAATAAATAAAATTATAGCTTTACGCACCCTAAACCGACCTCCCTTCCCTTCCCTTGAAGGCAGAATAAAAATTAGGTTGTGCGCTAAACACACTTTATTTTTTGGCCAAAGCTTTTATAAAGAACTACGAAATAACAATAACTAAAAGACAATTAAACTACGAAAGGCACGCTGCCATCCTGCTATGATTAAAAATTCCAAAAAATTACTTATTGCAGCCCAACCTCTTTGTTCATTATTATTATTGTTATGGTATATTTACATACACGGCACTCAAAACATATCATTTTAACATCAATATTTTACCCCCGTCAAACTATCTCACCAGTTCGAGAGCTCGCCGGAAGGAAAACGGGATCGTTTCATAAAACATCATGGGGTAGACAGGACTGCCGGCAGTGGAGTAATTGAGCGAGATTGAAGAAAACAGGCGGACAAGGCGAGATGGCTGACTTAGACGAAGAGAGACGGAGTGCATTTTATGTGCCTATTTATGAGTATAAGATGCTTATTTCATAAATACTTGACCAGTTTAGGTTTGAAATAGGTAAAATGATATGTTTTAAGTGCAGTGTAAATGCCCCCTTCTATTATTTTCATGATCCGAACATCAAAATAAAAAATCTTGCTACGATAACAATAATGCATAGCAGTCCTTACAGGCAAATCCATATCACAAACAGAAATGGGCTCAAATCAAATCAATAAACATTGGAACAAAAAACATACTACAAATGGAGCAAGCTTGGATCAAAGCACATCACAGCACATTTTTCACCCCCCCAAAAAAAAAGAAACAAAAAAACCACAGCAATAAAGATTCACATACAAAAACACAACACTACCAAGCGCAGGAAAATAAATAAAAAAAGCAAAACGATAGTTTAGTTCTGCTCGTCCACTTCGCCATCATCCCTCTCCTCAGCAGTAGCAGCCATCAGTTCATCGAACTTTTCACTCTTTACCAGCAAAATCTCAATCTGTTCACAAAATAACTAAATTATTCATTCCGCACATATATCACTAAATACAAAGGGGCGTTTACATACATACCATCCGAATGCTATATATTTACATAGAAACACCTAAACTTTGCTTGCTTACATATTTTTATCACCCAAATCTTTCATATCACATAAAAAAATACAACTATTTTCACTTTTAAAAACTAAAATGCAGATTTTCATGCATAGTTAAGTTGGTATATGTATGTAAAAATCGAAACTTAGGTGCTTGATATGTAAATACATAAGGATTGAATCGTATGTTTGTAAATCTTCATAGAAATTAAAGCGCTAACCTTTGCTTTCTGAATGGGCCGACCCCTTGACTCATCCTTGATGTCCACAGTGGATGTAATGATCCCTGCATGCACGAGGATTATTGCATATCTGATGAATTATTCAAAAGAAACCCAAATATAAGGAATTATTTGATGAAACTAAGAATGAATCTCACTCTTCTCAAGGGCAAGCCCATTGTTCTTCAGGATCTCTGCAATCGTGACAACAGTGGCAATGGCTGCAAAATATTTTAAAATGTGTTATTTTAACGGTCAAATGGATTTGGAATAAATTTTACAGAAATGGAACTCTTATTTATGATTAGTTTTCAGAGAAATTGCAAGTGCCCACAAATTTTGCTATGATGATACTCTGCTTCAGATTAAACGTCGACCATCTAAGGATCCAGTTAGGAGAGCATATGACTTAGATTCGACTTATGTTAAGAAAGGCAGGAGTAACCGAAAAAGGCTTGGGCATATTGTATAAAAATGTTTTTAATTTGTTAGAATTAAATGAAAATATGACACTCAATAGGACACAATGGAGAAAAAGGATTCAAGTAGTAGGATAAAAACTTGTTGTTGTTGTTGATACTCTGCTTCAGGTTTAAGGGCTTTTTCAGGTTGAGCTAATAAGCATACAAGGTTTGGTTCAGGTCCAAAAAATAAACAAAATATTTTCAGGTTAAGCTCAGGTTGACTTAACATGAACCAAACTCAAAATTAACCCAATCTGCACCCTAAACAAATAACCTAATATAGGCTCTCCGCTTTCATGATCTCTCATTTTCTCTTGTGATTATCAATGTTGTAAGCATTGCAACCTCTTCGCCGGAGTGCCAATCCATCAATCAAGTCGCCATGAGCTTCAACTATTAATACTATTATGGAAGCACCAAATCCATCACCCAATAAATCCACACTCTCATTCAATGAAATCCCAACAACAACTTGGCCGCCTACTTCACTAATGCTCTCCACACCAACATCTTCTCCAGATCTTCACCTATTAAGCCTTTCTCTACTATGCCTAGGGTGTGAACGATTCAATATCGAGCCTACCCGAGATCCGATTTTGAGTCGAATCGAAAAATTTTTAACTGGATTGAACTAGGATGGCGAATCGATCCTACTAAATTTTGATTCGATTTTCTAGCCTGATCTAATGCCATTTTTGGCTCGTGAGCCAGATCAATCTAGCTCAAACCCAACTTGGCTCGCCTAGCCACCCCAACCAACAAAAAATGCAAACTTTTGTGAAAAGATGGGGTTCGAACCGTTGCCACTCCGCTCAAGCAAAAAATCACTTACCAATTGAACTGGCAATGCGTTGTACATGTACATGTAAAACTAAAAATTTAGGTATTAAATATTTAAATACATAAGAATTTATTTTGATCCCGATCTAATCCTGGTCTGAGATGATGAAGGATCGAAATCGGATCGAAATAAATTTGATCCTTTAATTTGGCTTGTAGCTCGACTCGAATGGTTTGATCCAATTTCAATCCGAGCTAAAATTCGCTCTGATTTTCGAGCGATTTATGATCTTTGAGCCAATTTCACATCCCTAACTACGGCTTGCACAAAATCCATCGCCCCAAAGCTAACCAACTTCCAGAAAATTGTTCAGAGATTAACCGCCTATACAAACATTTACTCACTTGAATAAATCACTTAATTACAATAATAAACTTATATCATGTCATTTGCATAATTTAATTGATTACAAGTGTGTGCCCTGATAGTCTAGAGTGCAATATCAAATAAATTGTGGCTGCCACACGAATACTCTTAAGTTTTGGTACATCAAATCTTATTCAATTGATTGATTTTATTTTTATATGAATTCTCTGTGAGAATTTGAATTGATCTAATTTTTTAAAAAAATTTCAAAGAACCACAATTCGTGCACAACTCACCCTGCCCCGGTATCGCCCTTGATAAGAAAATATTACTGAGTAAATCGAGGACAAGGTGAATTGTGCATGCAATTGAATCTTTAAAGAACATCCAAAAATATTTAAAGAACATAAAGAATCAAATAAATTCATGAAACCCAAAGTTCATAATTTGTATTTTAACTAAGAAATGGTTTAAGCCCTTTGCTTTGTGCTATCACAGCACATTTTGACTGCAATAATATTTGGCGGTTCCATCTCCAATAACATTCAGTTCAGAAAGCATATCAAGCATGTAAATTAAAGATTCAAAGGCAATACTTCTTCTGGCAAAAATGAACACGGAAAAAATTAAGCAATTAAATCAAACAAAAAACACTATCAAAGACTGGATTTAGCGCAAGAAAGAATTCTTCAATACCCTGGGGATTAAAACTGAAAAAAAAAAAAAAGAGAAAAATGAATGAATAAACACAGAAAAATGAATGAATAAACACTGGCCCAACAAAACAGGTGCAAATTTCACTTTCGGGGCAAAGCCAAGATGGACGAAACACTCACCCATTCCCAAAGCAGAAAGCTCAACTTCGTTGTGTTGTTGCATGTACCTCTGCAATTAGAAACCCACAGATTTAAATAAAATATAAGCATCCATTGCAGAATCATGTTATAAAAAATTTAAAAAAAATCAAAATTAAGCAGTCCTACACTGCATCCCCAAGGCCACATCAACATATATAGATACAGCGCAATTCATCCACCCAATAATCTATTTTGCAAAAACTTTTACAAAGCAGAAACTCAGATACCACAAAAACAGCCCTCGCTCACAGAAAAAGAAAAAAACGATGAAATGGCTTCCAAGAAAACAAGGGGAAAACAAGAAACCGGTCAAACAACAAAAAATCGAGATAAAGAGCGAGATGGGTGTTGGTTGCGTTCAACGCTTTACCTTGGCCAGGTTGACGTAGAAGAAAAGGGGCTTCTTGGTGTTCGAAACCTGGATCCGATTCTTCTTATGTGAGTCGTTGATGCTCAGGTTGTTGGCCGCCTCAGTAACCTCCTCCATCTCCCAAGAAGCAAGCGTCGGGACAATAATCAACCTAGAAAGAAACCCTAGCCCTAACTCGTAAACGATAAGATCAGAAACCGGCCTTCATGGTTTATAATAACTGAACGGGGGGATGGTGGGGTACGCTGACCGGGTCGTGGGTAGCTGCTTTTGGGCTTCGGCTCTTGACCTAATTTGGAAACATTTAAATTTTTTTTTTACTTATTTTACCAGAAATAGATTTCACTCTAAATATTTTAATATACTTTTTTTATTTTTTTTATTTATTTTACTTTAAAATTTAAAATCATTTTTAGATTCAATTATTTTTTCAACATATGAATCCTATGGTATTCAAATTATATAATAATTTTCTTTCTAAATTAATGCGTTTAGTATAAGTCTTGCTAATTTGTCACGACAGATAAATCTTTCATTAGTGAATTACATCATAACATATCTATATATTAAAGGATTATAAATGGGAGTGTATTAAAAATATTATATGTACACAAATCAAGTCATACATGAATACAAACTTTCTTTTGTTTATTTTAAATATGGAAATAAAAATCAATACGTTGAATAGAGTCATTCTATTGAAGTGGCTGAATCAAGCGCACTCCTGAAGAGGTGAAGGCCCGCCTAGGGACAGTTAATAGAGAAAATCATTATTATTATCAAAGATGCGGGTATATTTCCCAGTAAAAGCTCCGCCTCATATCTACATTTAGGATCATTTTCGGGCCATTTTTTTCTGACTTGTTGGAGATTCAAGGTCATCATACAATCTCTTAAGACATTCTCTCAAATTATAGACATATCTCTCACCCCTCCACCTTCCTTCCTAAAATATAACATCATTACGAAATTATATGTACTCACAAGTCATGCAGCACCCTACATCCTAAAAACATTTCACAATATCAAATAAACAGTGCAGCCAAACAACATAGAGATAACGGTTTAAACTAATTATGTGAAGGCACGTACCATTAAATCTAAATCTATCTCATTGAACCTAAACATTGAGCGTGATTAACATGGTTCAAACTCCATTTCTTTAATCCAACGGTTGAAATTAATCTTTTAAGGATAATCTCAGTCTAGTTAAATTTACATTAGTTTTTTAATGTGTTATAGCCAATTTAACCCATTCCTTTACGGCTGTTTTGTACTATTATTATCATTTAAATCATATTACGAAAATTCAAGCCCTTAAAATAAGTAAAAATTTGCATGCACTTTTATCATTAGTGCGTATTTATTGATATAAACAGTTCAATTTTTTATCTTGAATATACAGCATTATATTATTCAACCTTCTTTTATTATTTTACTGAGATTAAATCAAAATTCCAACATAATACAATTCAACATTCTATTCATATATAATAAGGGAAAATGTATTTGTATTTCTTGGTGTATCTTTTCCATTATACAAAGAGTGATATTTATACAAGTATTCTAAGATTTAGAATAGGAAAAAAAATAAATATAGAGCAGAAATTAAGCATAGACATCAGCATATAGAATCGGCGCTAATTACATCATATCAGGACAATTAATACCATTACACCATATCAAGGCAATAAATGACATTCGATTTATTTCCTAGCAATATGTGTATTCCATGATATCCTTTGTGAAGTTTATTTGTAATAGGATCCCAACAACGATATTCTTTATGTTCAATTCCATACCTAAGAAAACAACATAAACGTGCACATGGTTCTAATTTCGTACGTTCATGAGGTTGTAAAAGAACAAAGCATGCACAACCAAATAGTTCAAGTAGGGAATAGTCAGGAGGCTTCCCAAAAAAATTTTCAAAAGGGGAGAAATTTGGCAGAACTAAGGTAGGGACTTGATTAATGTTGTAGACTGCAGTAAGAGTTGCTTCACCCCAATTTTTTTCCGAACAAGAAGCAAAAAGAAGAAGGGTACGAACAAAATCAAGAATATGACGGTGTTTCCGTTCAGCTCGTCCATTTTGTTGGGAAGTGTGAGGACAGAGCGTGACCAAAGTACATTGTTGATTGAGAAATTGGAGTAGGGAAGAATCTCGATATTCCATAGCGTTGTCTGTTCGAAGAATTTTAATAATATAAGAGAATAGAGTTTTAATCATATTAGCAAATGAAGTGCAAATTTTTGGCAATTCAGATCTATTTTTCAAAAGTAAATTCATGTAAAACGAGAATAATCATCAATAAATCACACAAAAAAACAAAAATCATTTATTAAAGGAATGTGGGCAGGACCCAGATGTCTGAATGAATTAAGCCAAAAAGACTTTTTGAAATTGAATTACAAAGATTAAACGACAACGTTGATTGCTTTGCAAGTTGACAGTGTAAATAATTAAATGACTTGAACTTTGTAGATCCTAACAAGCCACGTGAAATTGAAGATTGAATTTTACTGGCTGAGGCATGACAAAGAAGAAGATGTCATTAATGAATAGAGGAGTTGGTAGTTGTAGCAGCAAACAAAAATTTCTGGGAAAGATGCAGAGATACAAGCTCAAATAATCGACCAACCCTGCGACCCGTCCCCAAGAATCTGTCCCGTTTGAGAATCTGTCCCATTTGTGGATCGTGTATCTGACAACATGAAGGGGAAAAGTTAACATTTAGCCCTTATTCACATAAGGCCAACAGAGATGAGATTGAGGGCTAAGTTAGGGATACAGTATGTTTCAAGAAGACTAATATTAGAGGTAGATACATGACCAGTGTAAGTGATATTCATTTTGCTACTATTGGCAGTGTAAATCGGTGGCAAGATAGAAATCGGTGATGTGGTAGACAATAGTTTAACATTATTAGTCATATGGTTACAACAGGCCGAGTCAAAAAACCAATGAGAGTTACTCGGAGTGACAGACATGATCATAGATGAATTGGAAGAGATAACTTATTTGAATAGTGTTTCAATATCACTCATAGTAATAGCAGTAGAACTGACAGTGGTAGCAGCAGAGACGGAAGTAACGCCAGGCTTTGAGAAGGTCTTGGGCTTAGAGACCCCACATTTTAGTCGTGGAGGGCGATTCGGGCAATTCTCAAGAATATGACCATGAGTATGACAATATATGTATTAAACAGTCGGACATTTAACAAAAACGTGACCAGTTTGTTTGCAATTCTTACATATGTTGTTGCCAGATTTCTGATATGAGGTACGAGTAATTGCGAGTGCAATTTCAGAATTCGAGTTCTTGTCTAAATTGAGGTGAGTTCCTTTGAAAATGATTTCTTGTACAGTCATATCCAATGTAGGAAGAGGAGGTTGGTGTAGGAGAGAGGCTCGAACGGCTTCATATTCAGGTCGGAGAGCCATGAGAACTTGAATAAGATGAAGAAGATCTTCACTTACTTTCGCCTAAAATAGTTAATTCCAAATCGGTTGAACTCGAGCAAGAAAGCCATTCACAGATTGGTTAAGTTCTTGTTTCAGATTATGAAGTGTAATCCAAAACTAAAAGTAATGAGCAAGTTCAGTAGTCTGATATCTACTGGCCAAGAACTCCCAAATTTCTTTTGCAGTGTCATAATAAGCAAATTGGATGTGAATAAACAAAATAGAGGCGTTAAAAAATCAAGTAATAATCTGATGATTTTTGCTATCCCAATCTTCAAGGCGGTCAGCAAATTTGTCATCGGATTCATTTTGTTGTTTGGTTGGCTTATTGATATCTCCAGTAACAATACGCCAAAGTTTGCGACCGATCAAGAAGCTTTTCATTCCTTGAACCCATAAATTATAGTTTGAACCAGCCAAAACTATTGCAATAGGATTTGCAATATCTAATTTCTCCATTAGGAAGTGGAGCTGACAGAAAATAAAGCTTCCACAAACAAATAAACAGGTGGGTCGCGTGCAGCTACAGCAGAGGAGAATCGCCACAACAAAGAGGAGGAAAGCTCAAACGGTAGCTTTGGGCGAGTTGGGGTTGCGACTTCTTTGCACGCTAGGGCAGAGAGGTAATCGCGAGCTCAAGCATGCAACGTGGGATCGAGCAAGGAAAAGCACAGAGAAACACAAAAATTGGAAGATGAGATAGAAGGGGATCGCACGCCACAAGGAAGAGGCTACTTCGAACGATGCAAGCTTGCCTAGCTTCGAAGGGGCGAACTTGACCTTAACAGATTAAGGCAGAGTCGATCTTTGATTACATAATGAATCGCATAGGAGTAAAGCACAAGAATCGCGCAGAGGATCGTGGGCAGAGTAGATCCGCGTGCTTAGGGCACAGAGGCAGAAGGTTTGTGTGACAGGGAAGGGTTCGGCTCTCGGGAACAGGGCAGGATTAAATGCTGGAAAAAAAAAAAGAAAACTACGACCCTGATACCATAATAAAGGAAAAGGAATTTTTATTTCTTGGTGTATCTTTTCCATTGTACAAAATGTGATATTTATACAAGTATTATAAGATTTAGAAAAGAAAAGAAAATAAATATAGAGCAGGAATTAAGCCTCGATATCAGCATATAGAATCGGCGATAATTACATCATATGAGGGCAATTAATGTCATTACACCATATCAAGGCAATAAACGTCATTTGATTTATTTCCTAACAATATACATTTATAAAAGGAATGGTCTTATTATACGAGCCTCAGTCATCCCTAATACGTCTAACTATTCGAGTACCTCACTCTAAACGCGTGGGAATCGAGCCCTAGATTAGATGGGACTTGTAACGGACGAACTAATGCTCTACCAACTGAGCTAAGTTTACGACGTGTGTGTGTGTGTGCGCGCACTACATACTCAGATCAGTTGGTATGACATCTACTTGTCAGTTACAACTCCATCGAGTGCAGAGTGTGGTACTCGAATTTGTAGGCGCATTAGGGATGGTCGGGGATAGTATAATAGCCTCCGACCACTTTATATAAAGGAATTGATAAGGCAAAAAGCTGTAAAAAAAGGCCAATAATGTTCATCTACATTTCAAGCCCTCAATACTTAACACCTCTTTCTAATAATATTAGATATTAAAATTTAGGCATTTACAGCCAAACAAAAAAAAAAAAAACTAATTATATGTTGACAATGATGAGGCATACCGATCTCCCTTTCGACAGCAAAACATTTCTGTGTGTAACAAAAAATTGAACCTAATCCCATCCAGTAGCAACAATTTGATCATACCCAACATTATAGCTAGCTGTATTATATGCAATGGGCGCACCTCTTACTCCAATAGAACTATCAGCATCACCGCTGCAACTATCATCACCAACTGAAGAGTAGCCATTCCTTACAGCACCATTGCTGAGAGTACCAAAAACTCCATAAGAAGGATCAAAACTACCATCACCATGAGACTCAGAGTCATAATAATATCCAGTCCTTGGCAGCACATCATTCTTTCGGAAATCTACTGCTCCAAATCTGCTTCCACTGTTGCGGCGATTCTTTTCTCCAACATTGGAGGCTCTCATCTCAGCATATTCAGAGAGCCAATCAGGAACATCCTGACAGGATTCCTGCATCAACTCTACTAAAGATTTAGCCAACGGCTGGTTTGAGTGACAGAAGAAAGCAGTGGCCAGTCCACTCTTTTCGGCCTATGCGATGAACATAACTATCAATGTCTTTGGGTAAATCAAAGTTGATGACATGGGTAACATGAGGGATGTCGAGACCACGTGCAGCAACATCAGTCGCAACCATTACTGGAGTTGCACCACTTTTGAATGATCTTAATGCTTGCTCACGCTCCTTGGAATATCAAGAATATGGCAGTAAATAGATATGACTTTATAGGGAGGTTAATGATGAGAATGATCATATAAATTTAAGGCTTGCTTGGGATCAACTTTGTTTTTTATTTTATATTATTTTATTTTAAATTTTTGTTTAGTATGATTTACATGTTATCATTTTGGGTGTCTACATTCATAGCACACAATTCTTATGTACTCATATATCTCCCACCTAAACTTTTATATTTACACACATAACATTCTAATCTTTTATATCACATCAAAAGATAGCATCATTTCTATTTTTTTCAACGTGAAATACACGTTTTCAAGCAGAGGTTTAAAGAACCAAAGTGTTATGTATGCAAATATGAATGTTTAGGTGTGAGATATGTAATTACATATATGTAATTACATAAATGTAATTACATAAGAATTGTGTGCTAGATATGCAAATTACCTTTGTTTTTTTTTTCTTGTTTTAAAAAAAAAATTAATAAGTCTTTAAAAACACTAAAATACTTTTAGATGTTTTGAGTGTTTTAACAAAAAACCATACTTTGATCAAAGCACAGTTTTAGGTTCCAAATAAAACATAGATCACGTAATCTAAGCACTGTTTTAGGTTCCAACTAATCCAAATTTATGTTGTAGATACAAACAAAAAAATTAACTCAATGAAACATACCAGTTGATTTCGGTCACCATGTATTGCACTGGCTGGAAATCCTTTCATACATAGCCAATTTTGTAAGGAATCAGCTGCTCTTTTGGTTTCGACAAAAATTAAAGTCAAAGGTGGCTGCAAGAAAAGCTTATGAGTTTTGGGTACAACGAATGTAATGTAATATGGAGGCATGAATACCTTTGCATTAGAACCGTTAACATTTTCAGAGTGAAGAAGAGCCTTCAGGTGACTCCTCTTATCCACATCCGACACAAATTCAACCCTCTGCTTAATTAACTCTGTGCTTGATCCAACCCTCCCAACAGTCAAGAAAATGTAATTTGATAGGAAATCCGATGCTAAACGCTGCAAAAGTGTGAATAAATGGTGTAAAGAACAATATGCACAAATAGGACTCATCTAGAGTTGAAATATGAATCAACTGAGTATTAAATAGAAACTAAGATTATTAGAATTCCCCGAAAACAACAGATTAATAAATTCATTCGATGAAACACTAAGCGATCATTATCATTCATCTGCAAAGCAGCCAAATCTGAAGATAGCATTTCACCGAAAAAGTAACAAGAAAGTTTGAGGCAAGAAACCTGTATCCCATAGGGAAATGTTGCACTGAAAAGCATTGTTTGCCTAGCACCAGGAGGAGGCATGTTCGTTTGCTCAACTATCTTTCTTATCTGAGGTTCAAATCCCATATCCAACATTCGATCTGCCTCATCTAGTACCAAATAATTGATATTTTGAAGTGAGATTCTAGCTCTTTCAATTAAATCCATCAAGCGACCCGGTGTGGCAACCAAGATATCAACTCCTTTCTCTAAATTTCGAAGCTGTCAAAACGCAAATAGAACCCAAGTGTAAAACAACAAATGATACAATGTAAATTATAAATACAAACAATACAAACTTGCACGTAAATTACTCAATAGAATCGAGCATAAAAGTAATTTAGTCTAGATAATTAATGCAATATTCCAGAAGAAAAAATGACGCAATAAAACCATAATAACAAATGAAATGAGTCAGGAAAAGTGAAAAACCAGTTTAGAGTTGGCATGGTATCCCCACATATAACTGACAAAAATGATGATTGCTTCCAGTATAAAGAACTACATCTGCAAAAAAACTTCCTAGCACCACGCGTTGAACCAACCAAAGAAAGAAACTGACTGACAAAGATCTTGTCACACTATTGCTAGAAAAACAAGCATATTTTGCATCATGGCAAGCTTTCTAATGTTCAAGCAATAAGTTTGGAAGCCATAAACTTCGCTCACATTTACAGAACCATTATCATTATGCTATTAGTTTAACAGCAACGGGCACAAGAAGCAGAAAGTTATTATCTTATGAGGCATCACCATGAATAAACCTTTATGCAAAACTTTACAACAATAACAACAACAAAAAACATGTGCAATTATTTGAGTGCTATTAGTCGTTTATCATTTAACTTTGATCCAAAATTTAGACAATCCTTGATAATACAATATTAAAGCAGTTTAGTCCCACAGCCCACAGCGCAAGAAATTAAAATTGCAGAAGAAAATTAAAAAATACCTGTAGGTGAACCGCAGTTCCCCCGTACACTACGCAAACTCTCACACCCGTTTGATAAGCAAACTTTCTAGCCTCTTCATTAATCTGAAATCACAAGATAATTGACAACAAGAAAAATCATTAAAAAAACATGAATTCCAACGTGAACCAACCAATAACAGAATATTTAGACCTGGCATGACAGCTCTCTGGTGGGAGAAAGAATAAGTGCCCGAGGTGAGGCCACCCGACCCCATTGGCTGCATCCATTCTTAAGGGGGACCGAATTTCTCGTTATTCCGCTTATGATCGGAAAGCAGAATGCAGCCGTCTTCCCAGAGCCCGTCTGAGCACAGGCCATAAGATCTCTTCCAGCAAGAGAGATGGGAATAGCATAACGCTGCACGGGAGTAGGCTTCACATACCGGCACCGCTGGATATTTCGATAGAGAGCCACCCCGAGGTCAATCTCAGCGAATGTGCTCACCGGTGGCGGCACATCAGACCCACTCGTCTCAACCGGAATGTCCTCATAAGCACTGAAGTCTATTCCGTTTCCCGTGACATCGATAGAATCAGATATCCGAAGATTTCGCATCTCATCAGCGGCGATTCCGAATGGATTTTGCTCTCGAGATGCCCGAGATCTATCACGTCCGTGCCATGGACCGCGACGGCTTATATCCCCTGCTCCAAAAGAACCTTTACCCGGTTCAGAAGTAACAACCGGTGAAGTATTACCAGCTAAACGGAACGGGGGAATGTAGCAAGCTCTCCTTGAGTAAGAGTAGTCCTTGGATGCGCCAGCTTCGCCCCATGCACCATTGCCGGACATTCTGTTGCAGGTTACAGATCCTAGAATTTGAAAGGAAAGTTAAAACTTAACTGAAATCGATATCGTAATAAACATTACTCCCATAATGCAAACCTTAACGCGCCGTCGCCTTAGAGCTACAAAGACGATGACGTCCTGAATGAAAAATCCGGAGAGGAGAGCGCGTATTAAAGAAACCCTAAAAAGCTGATCAGAAAAGGAGAAAAGAGAAAGCAAATCGATCGAAGAGACAGGACAAAAGGTGGAAAAAGTGATGATGGGATAGCGCAGTAAGACGGACCTTCGGGAACTCAAGCGACTGAAGTGGCGGGATAAAAATCTATCCCTGTAATCGAGAGAGGGGTTTGATGGCATTAATTAATTAATAGGGACTAAATCGAAAAAGAACCTCGATCAAAGCATTTGCTGTTGTTAATGCCCCCCATTTTGGAATCATTGTCCAAGCATACGATTCGTCACATGCAAGTCATTTTAGCCAACTAAGCATCATAGGGTTTAGAGAGGGCAGTATTTTATCTATCTATTCTATGTTGTCATCACATTTTCATTTGGAAAATTATTTTCTTTTTTTTTATGAAAATTTATTTTTTTCAACAAAGTTATTGTATTATATAT